CCCATGTGCTCCCTGTGAAAGGCTGAGAGAATGTTTTCTCTCCATGTGACTCTCCTTAGGCACACTCTACATCATTGATCACTTTCCTCTTTGGAACCATAATCTCCTTGATCAGAAAATTTGGGACACAACTGAGTTACATGTTGTTACAGTTAAAGTTCTCATATGTCCTGAGTCTTAATTGGACTTAAAAGGCTGGGGTCAAAATGTTGTATGTTCTTGCAGCCATCCTTTTTCTCTAATTTTTAATCTGAAAACTAAAGTAGTTAACCCTCCAGAAGAGAAGCTTATTGTTATTCCATATAACCTAGGCTGTTAAGCTTAACCTCACTATCTGTCTGAATATCAAACATCTTAAACATAATATAGATCAGTTATTTTTCATCAAGTATTGATATGTTAAACTTTATGTCCTTACAAAATATGATGAAAAAAACTTTAAAAATTAAAATATAATTTGAAAATAGGAATAAACAATTATATATGTTTACACTTAAGTCCAGAAATGTAACCACAAACAACATTGTTGCAGGACAGTCCCACAACATTGCTTTTCCTGTCTCCTGGTTTCATTCACCACCCTGTTCCTTTTTAAACAATCATCTATGCACGACACAGCATGGCAGCAACTGGCATGCCTCGACAAGCAGCACGTATGCAGAAGACCAGAATGACAAGCACTCCAAGCATGAACCTACTATTACAATTGCCATCTTCTGTGCAGTTGCTTAGTTCACAGGTGTCTGTATATATAGTTAGTCAGGGTGAGAATCCTTGCAATTAACTGCTAGCTTTGAAAATATTCTGAAGGATCTCAGGATCATTGCCTTACCCATCTTCTACATATAACCGTAAGACTTGCCCCTGTCATGTTTGCTAGCTCTTTTCCTTGCTCTCTTTTATTTGTCTAATCCTCAAGTTCTTGCTTTACTTTTAGTTGCATTATACCTTTCTATGTGTATTTCTTTTTTTGAGTTCTTATAATAAGGAAACTACACATTTATCCATGTGTGTCTGGTCTATTTCACTTATGAGTATATCTTCAAGTGGCATCCACTTCAATATAAAGGTTTCAAGTTTATCATTATTTATAGCTGTGTAGTACTCCATGGTATAAAAATATCACTTCCTTTCCTTCCATTCCTCATGTGACGGGCATCTTGGTTGTTTCCAAGATTTCACTATCAAAAATTGTGCTGCTATAAACATAGGCACACATATATCCCTATGACATGATGTTTTCTGAGCCTCTGGGAAAATTCCCAGTAGAAGAATAGCTGGTTTAAATTAGATTTCCAGTCCAACTTTTG